AGCCTTATTTTTTCACACCAGAAAGCAAGTACAGAAGAATTGATGTTCCTGATCATTTGCCTGCAGAGATGACCTGAAGGTGGCAGCCACAATAGTGGGTTCCAAGTCCCAGCTGTTTTTTATGCATGTCATGTGCGCACATAAAAATACAGGTGGCACTTTGATTACATTATCATGGAGGTTATTGAAACTTTGACTAAACCTGCAAGTATGCCAGTTTTTTCATGTCTGACTCTGCTACCATTACTAATGTATAACAGACATGGGACCACTATAATTTTCATCCAAATATTTTAAGTGCAATTTCTATCTCTTTTTGACTTTATTTTTTTATATACAGTTGGTCTCCAATAAAACATAAGTGACTGTAATCCAGAGAACACACTATATATTGTATCCCAGGCTATAACTCTCTTCTTATTAACATTGAAAATAAGATTTCTGAAATCAATGGAACATCAAATTAGTATTCCACTGAAATGAAGTAGATTTAACGTCAAGTAATTCAGTTGGAGTGGGTATATGAGAATTATATTAAAAATAATTCCAAGCACTTTGTTTTTGGAAATGTCGAGGAGTAATTTTGCTGTGCTTCTGCATACACTTCATTCATGCGGCCTTTGCATTTGAGAAATATCTATTGCAAGAATGGGATCTGAGCGGGATTTAAGCCAACAGTTCAGTATATCTCTGTCATCGAGAATGTGTTCCATCCATTTGGGAAAAGGTTTCTAAAGCTTCCAGCAAAATATTTTGATTTTGTCCTAGGGATGTTGACCTTTCTCTGGATTACATTTTACGTGCCTGCCTAATGCTTGTCTTGAAGCCACTTTTTATTATGTTGCTCCAGAAATTTGTGCGGCTATTGTTATCCATGTTCATTTTAGAAAGATATATTCTGCTGTGTTCAGCAGCATTCCCGCTTAAAATGAAAAGGAACACATCCCCCTAGTTTTAATTGTTTAAAAGGGCTGCGCCTGCTTCAAAAATGATTCAGGCAAGGGGCTTCAAATGTCTTATACAAGCTTGAGAGCTCTCTGCTTTTGTTAAAAATCTTTCTGCACCTCCTCCTCTAGCAGGCTTCTAGAACAGGAGTGTCAAACTAGCGGCCTGTGGGCCAAATGTGTCACATGCAGACCACGTCCACCCCAGCTCCGTGAATGGGGAGAACGTCGCGAACCATCACATGACGCCAACGTGACATGGCGAGTTTGACACCTGTGCTCTAGAACAATCTCACTGCTTTAAGGAGTTGACGTATGTGATTGTTAAAGCAGCTGTAACTTTTCTTCAAGCTCAGATGGTAACCTGAACAATTATGTCTGAGCTGCTTTACTGTCTAACAGTCTTGCATTCACACTTGTGCAACTGCAAGGTTCAAAGGATTTTTCTGATATACTTTTTGAAGCATCCATAGCCCTATAGCTTAGCATAGAGGAAGGTAGTCTAGGACCATCCAGATATTTTGACTTACAATATGCCAGGTCTTTTGCCATCAGCCACACTGGTGAGGATCAAGACTCACTGAATTCAAAACTATTGAGCTACAGTAACAGCCAGCTGCTACCCTATATTTCTACATAAAAAATAGTTATTAATGGCATCGATGCCTATCTACTCAGAAGTAAAATTGATTGCATTCAAGGGGACTTACTCCGGAGAGCAACCTAACACGCTTTCAGCCAGAATTATTGTCACATTGACTTCCAGTTTTAATTTCCTTTCCAGGGAAACTTTGATGTTTCCTGTAAGTCTGGCTTTCGTAGAGAGGATTTAAACATTTGTTTAATATTCCCACTGAAACAAAAGGAATTTTACTGGATTTTATCCAAAAGGGGGGTGGGGTGGAATGATGAAGGAATAGTGATAGAATGGTCATATGACAGGATACAAGACTGCATGAAAGTTTATCCTTTAATGAGTTTCCACAATCTGAATCTTAATGTGGAAAGAATATTACCAAACAGGCTGCATAACAAACCAATCAGTCTGTTAAATCTTGATTGCTTCTGGCAAGTCAGGACCAATAGCAGTTTCACATCTTGCATTAAGCCACAATTTACTAAATGTTTTATTTTTTGGCTTTTGTGAAGCTATCTTAACTGCTGTGTTGAAACCATGGTTTATGGTTTAGTGCAATGCATGAACCTCGTACTGTTCCCTGTAAGATAAATCAGCAAGACATAAATTCGGCTGGTACGTATTCTGAACAATTAGCTGTCATATTTTGGCTAGGTCGTAATTATATGACTGGTTTATCCTTAATCATAATATGGTACTATGCGGTCATCAATGGGAAAAATCTAATGGATTTGATGATGTAAGAACATCATGGGTCCTCTTCTCAAGTTTTTCCATACGCATGAGTCCAGTTATCTTTTCAGACAGGGAAGTCTGCAGAAGGCAAAATGATACCCTCAAAAATATTAATCCCAACCAACCGGGGCAATAGGTTCCATCTCTTTTCATGAAGCATTCAAGCACCTTTACAGAAATCACTTTGGCCTTTGCTGTGAGCCTCTTTCAGCAACCAGTAGCTTTCCCTCCGCCTGTTTCCCCAGCCTGTCCCATCCTTTAATGGCAGCCTAATGCTAACAAACCAAAAAGGTAAAGTTGGTGATTTTTGCCCACTCTGGAAATAAGAATTGAAAGAAAAAATTAAAACAGATAGTTGTTGTTATTGGGGATTTTTACTTCACCTCCAATTGACGTTTCAGCCGTTTGTGTTAAGCAAAGTTCTCTACAGACTTTATTTTTGTACAATATGCATTTTATAAACTTTTTATGAAATAAAGCTTCTTTCTATTGTTATGAGGTAATTTACTGTCATTGTTGCACAACTTTAACGATGGCTTTTGTCTGGACTTTTTGGAACAGAATCTCAAAATCAGATAAGGCTTTGGGTTGTCCGCCTCGAAAAAAAGCCAAGATGTTGGTTACAATTGCACAATTTATACTCCACCCTTTTTCCTGTGACATCACTCATACAGAACCTGGATCACATGGTTGTAGCTGCGCCAGGGGTGGTATTTAGCCGGTTCAGACCGGTTTGGGCAAACCGGTAGCTCCTACGATCAGCTGGGAGTGAACCAGTTCACTCCAATGATCAAGTTGGCCCGCCTGCCCCTCCACTTTACTTACCTATATCCTCTCAGTATGGCAGAGCTGATTGCCGCGGCTCAGCTGTGTTACTCCCCAGAAGTAATGTGGAAGGTAAGTTTTGCTAAAACTGTGCACACAATCGCAAAAAAACCACGATCACCGAACCGGTTGTTAAACCAGCAGGATCCCACCACTGTAGGTGCCATTTTGAGTTTTTTTACCTCTCCCTGCAAATGCCCTGGTTTAGTACAGGTCTCTTTATTGGGAAACAATTGTATATTAGCTGAGGGAATCTATTCCTCTGGGGACCCCTTACATACATAACTGATGGCTGATTTCTTAGGTAATATATGCCAATTCTGCCTCTGTCCATCAACTGGCCTTGTTTTACATACTTGTAGACAATCAGCTAGTTGAAGCACACGTGAAAGATAAATTCAAAAGCCAAAGAACTCTCCCGAGCGCTGATTCATGAGGCTCTTGGGATGGCATGCACTCATCAAGACATTTTACCTGTCACATGTGATTGACTGTAGTAGTTCATAGGAGAATCCTATGAATTTTCCAAAGATAAAGACACAGAAAGATCTTTTTTACAAAGTTATATAAGATCCCACTGAATAGTTTTTTCCTGCTGAAATTTAAATGGAATGCCTTTCAAAATGGAGAAGACCTAGAGCTATTAAAGAGGACCTTGTGAAAGGAAGCTCTTGGCAATTCTAATTCTAATTGGCTGGAAGTTTAACAAAAGTCCTCTGTCTGAATGGAGATTACACCCCTTTTTGTTTCATGTCAATGGGTGAGTGCAGAAGAGTCTAATATTAGTTCTTGTTAGATTTTATTGTGTACTAGCCGATAACCTGGTGTTGCCCATGTATTTATTTATAGGGGGGAAATGTCTGGACCAAACCTAATTTCTAATGTTGGATTTTCCCCCTTACCAGAGGGAGCCCCCTTGTGGAGTACTGTGAAGCTGGTACCATGGCAACTCCATTGCGCTGCACAGTAGAAGCCATTTTAAGGCACAACATGCTGAATCTTAACAGAACATGCACCTCGAGGGGTTTTAGCGGCGTCTTATCCCCATANTACAGTCACAGACCTTATCTGGCTTGGAGAGCTGACGGGCCAATATCTGCAAAACTTGGCAAGGAATCTCAGAGAGTCCCAAACCAATTAAGCGAAGTAATTGTCTCCTGCAAACTCCACTCCCCTTTCGCTCTTTTATTTCCTCTGGGAGTGGCCATTCATGCCAAATCAACCCCTGTTCTTTAGCTGTTCCCTTCATCTGACAACTCTGCACGTGTGCACACTGGGAACAGGCTCCAGCTGTTCGTCTGCCTCACTGATATCTGACTCTGAAGGCATACTCTGATAACTGGCATACGGCTCTCGTCCCCTGTCTGACTCCAGTATAGAGCCCTCATTAGAGCCTTCTCCAGACTCCAGGAGTGGCCCCTGTTCTTCCCCACCCTCCTCACTGTCCGAATCTGCTGCCAGCTCTGCTGGCCACTGGCGGGCCACAACACCATGATCATGGGATAATTTGGGTCCAGTTGAGCAGAGTTTTCTTTTGGTTATATTATGGTAATTGTTTCATCAATTTATATTCTGTATGTCGTATTTATGTATTGTACAATATCTGTTTTAACACTATGGTTTATGGCTTGTGTTTTGTTAGTGTATATCACTCCGAGTGTCACTGTTGAGTTGGATCCAGTAATAAATCAAATTTTAAAAATTGAATTTTGCAGCCTTTAACGTATGCAGTTGTCACTCCCAGATTTAACCATGTGCCTGCTAGAAATTTCAGTAAGTAAGATCATTTTCTCCATGTGAAGTAAGATGGATACGCAATCATTTGACAAGTTGTTTTTCTCCTTTTCCCAACAGCTAACATGCCTGTGGATTATCCCAGCCAACTTGAGGAGGTGATGGATTTTATTCAAACCACTTTAAAAAGACTGAAGAGATCACCAGATAAACCACATTTCTCCAAACGGGAAAGAAACCGGCAAAATGCCGGAAGGAACAATAATTCCAACAAGAAGAAAGGACGGAGAGCGCAAAGACTCAAATCTCGGGATTGTGTCTTAAGTGAGATTCACTTAAATGTGACTGACTTGGGATTGGGATACACAACCAAAGAAGAATTGATTTTCCGTTATTGTAGTGGTTCGTGCGAGACTGCTGTAACCCTGTATGACCAAATTTTAAACAATTTAACCCAAAATAAAAAGTTGGTCAGTGACAAAATCAGGCCACAGCCTTGTTGCAGACCCATTGCTTATGATGACGACCTTTCGTTTTTGGACGATGACCTATCAACTTATCACATACTGAGGAAACATTCCGCTAAAAAATGTGGGTGCGTTTGATGTCCTTGTGTGTTTGGACACGGGCTACGATATTGCATTCCTGCTAAAATGGGCAAAGAAGGGGACCAAGGCTCCCGAGGAAAGGAAAAAGGTTGGCTTCAGATGAAGGAAGAGGACCAAGCATACAGGAGAACAACAGCTGTGCGAGCCTGGTTGGTGGAAATCCAGCACGGGATACTTGGTGAAGCTACAACATGATGGAGCTTTTGGTTTCTACAGGAAGGCAAATAGACATCAATGCTCAGGGGCTGAGATCCAGGATGAATGGGAATTATTTTACACCGTTGGTTTTGAGGTGATCCACCATTGGCACAAAACTTAGCCGAACAGGTGCTTATCAACACAAGCCCCCTTTCTTCCTTCTTTGTTTTCTACCACCCACCATCCTCCCCAAATGGAAGTTAAACTATTGATTGTAGGCTTTCATCCCAATCTGGAGGCATAATCTGTCTTTCATATTGAGAAGAATGTGTTTTGTGATCAGGTGCAGGGGCTCCCGGGGATGGAATCAACAATGTCAGAATGGCCACCATGATTAGATGATGACTGGAGTGCCAACCCTTTTTAAATATGTCTGATGGCATGTTAAAAAGGAACGATGCTTCGGTTATCCAGCCACATCCATGATTTCGGTCTTGTTGACCTTCATCCCTTGTAGACACCCCTGATCCAAACCTTCCCTAATTTTGCATCAGAGGTGGGTTCCTACCTATTCGGTCCGGTTCGTTCAAATAGGTAGTAACTCCGGCGGACATGTGACCGCACCGGTTCTATCCTCAGCGGTGCCATCTTGATTTTCTGTTTTGCACATATGCAGAACAACCTTCATTGAAAAAAATGTAATTTTTATTCCTTTTTAAATGTTGTGCACATGCACAGATCATTTTAAGTGCAAATGGGCACACGCATGGAGTGCGTGTCTGGTGTGTGCGTGAGCAAAGCGAGCACGCGTGTGCAAACTTTTTCGGGCACTGAACCAGTAGTAATGGCGGCCGGAACCCACCCCTGCTTTGCATCCTCCAGTTAATATGAACTGGGTTTCCAGAATTCTTCATAATGGCCATACTGGCTGAAGCATTCGGAAAACTGAGATCCCAGGTTGAAGAAGGCCACTGTGTGAGCAATCCTGAGGAATTTATTGGGATATTTGAGATGCAAGAGTGGAATATATAGAAATGTTATAATGGAGAAAACACACTTGATGAAAGGAGGAAATTATCCTAGCAGAACTCTGCGTTCATACAAATTGCTGGCTAAATTTGTCCAGCTTGAGAACTGACAGTTCCCAACAATTCACTCAGCACTTTTTTGATACTTGTTTATGGAAAGCCTAGCAATTGTAGAGTTTTGTCTACCGTTGCTAACAGTCTCTTTTAGAAATCCTTCACCGAAATCTAAACTTGAAATTCTGCCCTTGATTTGCCAGACCACTTAGCTAAATTGTACATCACAACATCCCTCTTTTTTGTGATGTGAAGACATTAACAAGCTTCTTTTCCTGTGCCTTATGAATAATGCAGAATTATTCTACCCATACCAATCGGTCAGAAAGNCCGATAACCTGGTGTTGCCCATGTATTTATTTATAGGGGGGAAATGTCTGGACCAAACCTAATTTCTAATGTTGGATTTTCCCCCTTACCAGAGGGAGCCCCCTTGTGGAGTACTGTGAAGCTGGTACCATGGCAACTCCATTGCGCTGCACAGTAGAAGCCATTTTAAGGCACAACATGCTGAATCTTAACAGAACATGCACCTCGAGGGGTTTTAGCGGCGTCTTATCCCCATAGTATTTGTTTCCAGAGAGTAAGCCAATTTGTGTACCAAGTTTGGTTGAAATTGTTCAAGGAGTTCCAGAGTTATGCTGGAACATACACACGCACACAGCCGTTAAATTGACAAGATGGCAGATGGAGTGTCACCATGAAAGCTTCAGTCCAACTCCATACATCTTAAAAGTTCCTGAGGTTGAGAAACATTGCACTAATTCACAGATTTTGATCCCATGTGACACTTATGCTGTTTGGGGTTCATATTCTCTGCCTCTATCTCTCACACACACCCTCATTAAATCTCAAAGAAAAAAAATTGGCTAGTCTGCCAGCACAATGCCCCATCATACCAACTTTGAGCTCAACCACCCAACAAGTTTTATTTCTTTTAGAGCTGTCTTTTTCCCTCCTCACTATCCTTTTTATATCTCCATTTCATTCTTGAGGAAAGCTGCCAACTTTCCCACCATTCTTCCCAAATTATAAAAAAAAATTAAATTCCCACCTACCTATGAGCTGGTTTTTTTTTTAAACTAGAGATTAAAAATATGGCCTTTTGTGGCCATATTTCAGATTAGGTCAGAACAACTGAAGAAGGATAAAAGTCATTTATATTGCAATGCCACATCTTTTGCACATCCTATTCCTGATACTTCAGAGGCTAATTTCATCCATCAACAGAAGCAGCCACATTAAAGCCTGGAGGGAAAGCTTAACAGCAAGAATGCTGGAGGCTGGGATGCACAAACATTTCTGTGTTAGCGGTAGTGAGAGATCCAAACCACGATAGGACTGAAACATCCTGTTCAAATGATCCACATGCCTCCTGCATTTGTGATATGATATATGTACTTGCTCTGGTTTTTATTTGGCAAGAGGTGAGTTCTGTGTGTGAGAGAGAGAAAGAAAGAGAGATAGAGAGTGATGGAGGAAGCGGGAGGGGGGAGAGAGGAGGGGGGAGAGGGAGTGATCGAGGAAGGGAGAGGGGGAGAGATGGAGGGAGGGGGAGGGAGAGAGGGAGAGAGAGAAACAGAGACAAACAGAGAGAAAGAGAGAGGGAGGGGGAGAGAGAAGAGAGAGAGAGACAGGGAGGGGGAGGGGAGAGAAACAGAGAGACAGACAGAAAGAGAGAGAGAGGAGAAACAGATAGAGAGAGGGAAGGGGGTGGAGAGAGAAACAGAGAGGGAGGGGGAGAGAAAGAGAGAGAGAGAGAGAGAGAGAGAGAGAGAGAGAGAACACGCTCCGGAATTGAAAGGCTGCCACATTCAACAACCTACATTCACAATTCTTCTCTCATTTAGAGGGAAGGCTGATCCTGCCTTCAGACATGTGCTACTTTCTAGGGACAACTAAAAGAAGAAACCTGGAATGTTAGCCTGGGAAGCTTCAGATGATTTTGCTCAGAGAAGTGGGAGCGAGTCATCCAAGATTTTGGGCAGGGTAGGAGGCCATTGACAGCTCTGAAATAAATAGCAACAAGAAAAATAATTAGTCCCAAGTTTCAAAGCACTAAGGCAGAAGTGGAAGGGCTAGTAAGAATGTCAAGCCCTTGGATATTATTCTTATGAAATCGACCTTCATCAAGTGCTACTTTGTTCTGTCTATCAAAAGAAGAGGAGGAGGTCAATGCCAAACCCATCTGCATTTGTCCTTAGCTAGGAATAGCAGCAACCATCCTTCTGTTGCATAAATAAGTCCTGATAAATGATTTCCAAGTATTCATGATTTGCAGCCTTTTTTTTTCTGCTTTACGGATAGCACATTTCCTCCCTCCCTCCCTTCTTTTTTCCTTCCTTTTCTTTCTTTCTTTTTCCTTTCCTTTCTGCCTCTCCTTCTTATGGGTAAGATACAATTGAATTGGCAGTAATAGACTTCATCAAACTGTCATTCTTCACACACACGCTCCAAATGCTACTCAAAGGGTTAAAGACTAAATAGGGGAACGTGTGGTCGGGGAACAAATAATATAAGCTCTGGTCTTATATCACCCTATGGACAGTGTATTTAATTCCCCAATTCATTCAGGGAAATGTCCACCACCTCCTGCTCAATTTTTTTAAAGATGTACAGATGGATGCAAAAGGAAGGAAAATATTGTGCAAATACTGTATTTCACGTTTAAGAAGACAGGTCCAGTGGTAGGAATGCAGTATTGCAGCTAATTCTGTCCATTGCCAGAAGTTCGATCCTGACCGGTTTAATTGACTCAGCCTTCCATCCTTCCAAAGTTGATAAAATAAGGATCCAGATTGTTGGGGGCAAAATGCTGATTTTGTAAACCACTTAGAGAGGGCTGTAAAACACTATGAAGCGGTATGTGAGTCGAAGCACTATTGCTATTTAAAAGGATCTTCAGGTTCGAATTTTTTTAAAGAATCCAAATAATCAGTTCTCAATTGCATTTCTATCTCTTCTACAATCCTCAACCCCAACATGTAGTTTAATACTGCACATCAAACCTTTATATAATGTACAGTAACACCTGTCTTAAAAGTATAAATAGTTCCATTGGGATATCCCCGGGGCTCAGTCTAAGCTCATTTGCTGCCTGCAATAGCATTAACCACAAGTACAGTTGTGGCATACCTAACACACCACTAATGTGTTGCTTTATAGCAAAGGCATTCTCTGGTGATTACTCAATCATATGTTTTATTGCCAGGTCTTTTGAAATGGTCAAATGTCATTCCAGAGGAAATGAGGAACGGGCTTAATTTATTTTCAATTCCCCATTCCGTACGTGGTACCGATGATTTTATTCCTCTTTCTGCACTTACCATAAGGTTATACCGTGAATGCTTTTCTCTTTCTTGAAACATGTTTTATAGCTGGCAATGAGCAGGCCAAGGTTCGCACACTAGGTAGAAGTTGGCCATCTAATGTAAAAGAAAGACAGCTGAAAATGTTTTGAAATGTTTGTGAGTGGAATAGCATGTTCAAGGAAACAGGAATTCTAAACATTAATATGGGTATGTATGCACAGAAGTTGGTTCTTTCCAGGAAGTTTTAAAATGAAAACTGCATCCAGAAAAACACTGTGTTTAATTTCTCTCTTGAGAGGCATTAACTATCATAATATTGAGTGTGCATCTATATACCTACTGTGGTTCTACAATTAAATGTCTTTAAGCGACGGGGCTGAAAGCATTTTAATTGGGATGTCTGCTGGAATACAACAAGGGACGCGGTGGCTCAGTGGCTAAGCTGCTGAGCTTGTCGATCAGAAAAGTCGGCAGTGCGGCAGTTCGAATCCCTAGCACCGCAAAACGGAGTGAGCGCCCGTTACTTGTCCCAGCTTCTGTCAACCTAGCAGTTCGAAAGCATGTAAAAATGCAAGTAGAAAAATAGGGACTATCTTTGGTGGGAAGGTAATAGCGTTCCGTATGCCTTCAGCATTTAGTCATGCCAGCCACATGACCATGGAGACGTCTTTGGAGAACGCTGGCTCTTCGGCTTTCAAACAGAGATGAGCAGTGCCCCCTAGAGTCAGGAACAGCTGGCACATATGTGCAAGGGGAACCTTTACCTTTACCTTGAATACAACATGCGACTGTCCCCAGGAAACATTTCAGAAAGAAAAAACAAGAAGAACCAAAATGAAACAAGAAGCGGAAAGCCCAATTCAGAAAATTAGAAAAAGACAGATCTTTTTCCATTCGCTGTCAGCTCTTTGAGATAGTCCAGACAGGAAACTACAACCATTTATACTAACATTACCTTTGTTGTATGTCATAGTAACAGACTCTCCCAAGTGTGAAGACACCTCTTCTGTCCCTTGCTTCTACTTTTCAGAGAGCCAAGGAGGATCCTTTCTGAGATGCTTTCTCTGACCTCATCCCTCTTTTGCACGTCTTTTACCAAACTATTGTCTCAGCTGCAATTTAAAAATAAAATCCACTGATCTGTCCTATGACATTCTTCTTCAACCTCCTGCCATCCACATGTACTGGATGAGGTTTATTTATTACTAGCTGGGTATCCGTGCTTCATGATGAAACTATGTGAGTGGGCTATGCAGGAGAAATTCCATTCACAATCTGTTGGCTCAGTGGTGGTTGGTGATTGTAACACATAAGGGAATATCGCTCCCACCACCTTGAGTCCGGAAGCAGTTCCATAGGTGGACGGCATAGACATTTTGGTGAGTTACCAACGTTTAGTAATGTAAGGAGCCCCAAACCGCTCCTGAGTGAAGGAGTGGAACGTCTGCCAGTTTGAACTGAGGTAACAGAATGTGAGGCAATTGGCAGTTGGAACAGAGTTCTTTTCAGGTGGGGAGGGGGAGTAGAATATCTAGCTCCTTAGCATCAAAGTGTTTTAATATAAAACAACTGGCAGTTGTAACAGAGTTCTTTTCTGGTGGGGAGAGGGAATAGAACTCCTTAGCATCAGAGTATGTTAATTACTGTATAAGAAATACTAATGACCTGATGGTCATTTCAAAAAATTCTTTCTTAGCGAGCACCTAGAAGTCAAGAGGGACATAGATGCCAAATTTCAAGTTTGTGGGCTTTATGGTTCTGGAGATTTTGTGATGAGTGAGTGGTGATTGGCTTTTATATATAGATAGATTTTTAAAATGTAATTCCAAGTTGACACAATAGTCAAGCTGCCTAGCAGGGTATCTGCACAGCGAGTCAAAAAAGTCAAGATGGCAGCTGCCACTACATCATTGAAGCCCTGCCCCCTTTCTTACCTGTGTTATACGGCCCTCCCTACCACCAT